ACTGTACCATGCACCCGAAAACTCGTAACATTTTCGTGCTGCCCTGCTTCCCTGTCCACAGCAGATGCGGTGATGCGTTGTTCGGGAGTGACGACGACGACAACAAGTTGTGCAGCATGACAGCGTGGTCCATTGCTGCTGGCCACTGGTGGTTGGGTAGCCGCATGCCACGTAACAGTTTGCGCATGCTGTTCTGCAGGGTCCTGTTCAGTCGTTCTGCAACACCTTGCTGCTGATATGCATAGGGAAGGGAGAGGAGTTGCTTGATCCCTCTTTCCGCCAAGAACTGCTTGAAGCGCTGAGAGGTGTACTCGCCACCTCCGTCTGACTGGAAATTTTTCAGTTGTGTTCCAGACTCTCTCTCTGCTATCGGTAGCCAGGCGGCGAATGCTGCGAGCGCCATGTCGCGGCTGGGTAGGTTGCGATGCCAGACGTATCGAGTGGCAGCGTCGATGAAGGTGATGGTGTAGTTGTAGTTGACTTGTCCTGGTTCGCGATTGTAGAGGATGTCGCTGTAGACTTTCTCGAGTGGTGCGTACGCTGGAGCGCTCGGGTTGTGACGTGAAGCAAACGGTCGATGAGGTAAGTCAGCTTCGGGACATATAAGGCAAGTCCCTCGTGCCTTCTGGAGTTCTCTGCCATCGGGTAGAAGTAGAGAGTCTTTGTCGAGGACTCCTGCTCTTATCGTGTTATTCAAAACCGTGTTGCTTGGATGTCCTGTGCGTGCGTGCCAGATCTCTTCAGAGGCGCGGTGTCCGGGTGAACGCTGATATGCGTCGGAGTTGGAGTAAAAACTGGCGACGAGGTTGGCGCTTCGGTGGACTTCACGCTGAGTCGGATTCAGCTGTTGCGCGGGTGTTGGTGGTGCTTCGTCGACTGTGACTGGTGTCGTTGTTTCTGCTGCCGCTGATGTTGTTGTTGCTGCCGATGTTGTTGCTGCTGTCGATGTTGTTGCTGCTGCCGATGTTGTTGCTGCTGCCAATGTTGTTGTCTCTGCTTCTTGTTGAATCGTTGCTAACGCTCTTGTTCGTTCTGCTTCAGGGATAGTGTGGGAGTACCAGAAACCTCCCGGGCTGAAGTCGGGGTCGAGATCCGGAGGGTGTGTCCAATCAGCAAAGTTCACAATGGCGTCGCTGTCTGCAGTGCCGAGGTCAGGAACGAAGTCGAGGACGAAGACGTTGTTCTTCAGCACTGCTTTTCCGATGTAGAGACCGCCTCTCCCGTGGTAAAGCTTGAACTCCTGGGTCGTGCTGTCGGCTTCCAGATGAATTCCTTTCGCCATCAACTGACTAACGCTCAGTAAGTTGTAGCCGAGTCCTTCAGCGATGAGTACCTTAGACATGTGCAGTATGACATTTGTTTCTCTTGACTGAAGCTGTACCACTCCTTGTCTTCGTGTGCGCAGGTTTTGGTTGTTGGCAACCGTGATGATCACTTCCCGTTGGAGTCGATGTTCGCGTTGTACGAAACGCCCGGACGAGCACATGTGTTGCCCGCAGCAACTGTCCAAGAACCAGGTGTCTTGGCCGGACGGTTCACTTTGAGCGATGGCGGCGTACGTTGGATTCGGCTGGAGTAGCTCACGGCGAGGCGTTCTGTTGTCAAGCTCTTCTTCCGGTGAGTAGTGTGGTGGTGATTCGGTTGTACATGAATCGGTTATCTTCATCATGCAGCTTGATTATATTTCTTGCTCCTTGTGCAGGTTGTCCGGGTGAAGTCGTTGAAGCTTGAATAGTGGTCGTCGCACTTGCTTGTGTTGAAGCCATTTGGGAGCTTGAAGGTCGAAGTTGTCGCTGTGGTGCCGTTGATTGCTGACGATTCGGGCAGTGTGTGCGCGGGTGCCCTGAAGTCTTGCAGATGTGGCAGAAGGGAGGTACTATCTTCGGTTGCTGCTGTCGATTGTTGTAGTAGTTGTGTCGTCGCTGAGTATGGAAAGCAAACTCCGGTGCTAATGTCCTTTTCTTGTGTCTTTCTTCTTGCAGGTCCATATCCTGCTGTTCCGCGTGAATTTCTGCGCAAAGTGCCGCTTCGGAGATCCTCCCGTGTGCTCGAAGAATTGCTTTGGTGGCGCGCCACTGAGGACCGAGGCCGCCGATGACGACTGTTACGAAGGCGTCTTCAGAGATTGACCCTCCACATCGAAGAAGCTTGTCGCGCAATTTGCGACATCGGCTGATATACGCCAACCCCTTTTCTCCTGGTTTCATTTCCACTGTTGTCAGCTGCGCCATTAACCTGCTCTGGTTTACACTGTCTGTTGCTTGATACAGGTTCTTCAGATGGCTGTACGCGAGCTCCGCCGAGTTGCCGAAGGTCCGGTAAGAGCGAATGTTCTGCTGCTGAGTTGGTGTCACGTTCCTCAATAGGATTGTATACGCCATCATTGATTGATACGTATACTGCTGCTTTTCATATTGTGTCCCGTTGGCTGGATACTGCAGGGACCCGTCGAAGAAGCCGAGTATCTGCGCGCCCTCCATCATCAGCTCGAATTCAAAGGACCAGGTAAAGAAGTCTTTGCCGTCGAAGGGTCTTGACGTTTGCAGTTTTAAGACGTGTGCAAACTGCGACTGAACTTGAAGTGCGTCCAGTGGTCTTCCTTGTCCAGGTGAAGGTTGCGGGTGGGGCACGAAGCTGATTGACCCGCGCTCGTACGGAGCAAAGGTAGGTTGCTGCTGCTGGTTTCCTCGCGCATATGACGACCCATCAAGACTCATGGGTGTCGCTCCGTTGTTGCTGTTGTGTGTTTGTGCAGGTCCCGACTGCTGGTGTTGTTCGTAGAAGGACATGAAGGAGAAAAATTTCTCCATCATGTTCTGGTCAAAGTCCGAAGGGTGGTTCATGGGGGTCTCGGTTGACGTTCCTCTTGGTCTTGTTGCCGTGCCTTCTTCTGTCTGCAGGCCAGAGGCTGGCGGTGGAGTAGGAGTAGTGCCCGAGGAGCCATTAGGGGAGCTCCTTTCCTTGTTTGTTGCCATGTCTTGTAATGATAAAAAAAGGTTAGAGTTTTCCCCTGTCAGCTCTCATACCATGTTGGGCTGAGAAATAGCCCTTAGGATCTTTGCAGAGGAGAACTCTTGGGTAGAAACTTGTAATAGCGGAAGCGTTTAATGAGGATTGTGAACCGACCTTGCACTGGTGTGTGAGAGCAAAGTAGATTGAATTAAACAAGCAAATACAAGGATTTATATAAGAGTACAGGGAATAGATAGATAACTGTATTGCTGTTGCGGTTCGATATAGCGCGACTCGGGCAACTGCTCTGTAACGAGTCAGTTGTGTGTCCTTAACTGTCGCGCTGTAATTGTCGAGTCAAAGGTCAGCGACCTTTGACTTTCTCGTAACCTCCAGGCGGTTACCCTAACCTCCGAGGTTGACTCGATGCTTCGATTGGGACTGCTTCGCTTGGTACCGTATTCTCCCGGATAAAACACCCTAGGGTATTATGAAAACCACTGGAAAAAAATGGGGGGGGTCTCCTCAAAGGAAAATCCTATATAATACCCAGGTCTTATGATATGGTAAATTTTTTATAAAACAGAAAAGATGTGAAACAAAATCAGAGGTCTGACTTCACTTCAAGATTGTTGATCAATGCCGCAAAACCGAGTACGAGGATATTGTGGGCCACTTGGGCCACTTGGGCCACTTCACCTCTTGGACCATTTGCAGTGGAAGATTCGCCAGCGTGGCGACAGCGAGATTTTGGGATTCACCAGCGTGGCGACATCGAGATTGTGGGAGGGGGGATATCTCGGTTGATTCTAAGTGAAACTTCATGCGAAATTTCTTCTAGGGAGTGATTTTCGCGATATCCTCCCGTAAGGAATCAGACTCGATAACAGCTATAATAGGAATCTATAAGAAAAGGGGGGTGTTATAGAGAATCACCCCAAAAAGGGGGGTATAGTACTAACGGGGTCGGATATAACACCCACCCCAGTATTAGCTACCCAGGGGTGTACAATTACGGGGGGGTGTTTTATCCGGGAGAATACGGTACCTTGGATTTTGATACGACAGAAGCGCACTTAGGACTTATTGTTTCCAACAAAACCTAGTTATTAATCAATCTTGGGTGGGAGGGGCATGGGGAGCATAATCAGGGCTCTGGTTATCAGACCAAATCGGTCTGATGGTCTGAAAATCAGACCTGATTTCTTTGTTTCATCTGATCTTCCAGACCATAGTTTTTTTTTCATCTGAACCACAAGACGAATGATTATATTTCGTCTGAAAATAAAGACTAAGTGTTATATTCCGTCTGAAAAATCAGAAAGCGAGTACAATTTCATCTGATACCGAGAAAGTACCGTACTGGCCTGCCCCCTCCCCCTCCCACCCCCCCCTTCCCCTCAGTCCCCCCTGCCCTAAGTCCCGTCCCTCACGCGCTTCTCCTAACCCAACCTCACCACCAAGTCTCTACCAGCCCAGCCTCTCGCTGCGCAACCCCAGTCCATCCCCCCTTCCCCCGCCTAGCTCCCCTACACCTTTCCCAGCCCAGCCCCCTTCCCCTCAAGTCCCTCCACCCCCCTGGTCCGTCGCGTAAGACACGGACCCACCCATGCATGTCCCTCGCAGCCCAACTTCCCCCCCCCCCTCCAAGTCCCCCTAGGCGCCCAACTTGCTATGACTGCCTGCTAGCAGGTTGTCAACGTCACGCATTCATTTCGTACTTCGTAAAGACTGAATCATACCGTTTTCATGGCTGACTAGTGTAATACAGCAAACAGACCATGGAAAACATTTTGTCTTATGAATCAGACTAAGCACCAACATTCGTCTGAAAAATCAGACCTTTTTTTGCCCGTCTGAACGTCAGACAAAACGATTTTTTGGGGGGGGGGACTTCAGACAGGCCTAAATCCTAGCAAGAGCCCTGAGCATAATCATAGACCTCCCTTTCTCCAGCTTTGTGAGTGCCACGCCACTGCACATCCAACTGACTTCTAATTCAAAGGATGAATTTCCTAGGAGTGGGAGGCTAAAGGGGAGTGGGAGACTTAGGGGGAGTGGGAGGCGACCCAGTGGTAGAGCAGGCTGGCACCGAAGCCAGTGCCTCCGCCCTTCTTCTCACTCCACACCGGCCCTGCAATGTCCAAATGCGCCCATGGCAACCCCTCCGCCACAAACTGGTAAAGGGGAATGGTGGCAAAACAGCATACGGAGGGGCAGGAGATGAGAGGAGGTAAGTTTTCCTTTTGTCGCAACGCAATCAGCACATATACTGCTGCTTCGATGCTAGCCCAGGGAGGGACGGGAACTGGAAGAGGAGATGAGCTGCTGCAACACTGACTATCAAAGAGTGATTCTGGTCAGCAGGGCCCATGAAAAAGTGGTACAGAACAAACACGCTCTCCCCTCTCATCTGCGTGAATAATTAAGGGGTGTGGTGTCCCCGCTTCATTTTGACTCACCTGCTTGAGGAAGAGCGCTGCAGTGATGGAGCCGCCCTCGCGGCCGCCGGTGTTGAGCATGTCGGCATGCTTGCTGCGCATGCCCTCCCAGTACGCCTCCTCCATGGGCATGAGCACACATGCATGCGATTTTGCCAGCAATGTCACCGACATATCAGCCCACCAGCCATGGCACGAGCGTACCAGCAACGTATGCCACCCTTGTGCCAGCAAATGTCATTCTTCGAAAACAATAATTTAGGTGCCAATTAGTGTGGCAACATCTCAGTCTACAAAACAGTCACCTCAGCAATGTTTGGGAAGCACGTACCAGAGATGCACAGGAGGGGCGTACCAGCGATGTCATTCCCGAGGGCAATGATGCAGGCGCCAGTGAGGGTGGCGACATCAACGATCTTCTCCACGCCCTGCTGCTGCGCGTACAGCAGCGCATCCGCCAGTGTCAGCCGCCCCTCCGCGTCCGTGTTGTTCACCTGTGAGGAGGGGCACGTGGAGGAGGGAAAGGGACGGGACGGGGGTGTGCGGGTTTCAGAGGCAGCGCCAGTACTCTTTCACAATTTGCTCCCATGCATTCTTGTGAGCGTCTGCTGGGAACAGCTGGCCATGTCACCTTCCCTTCCTTATGAACGGCCGGCATAGGCTGAAAGTTGCCAACTGCAGCTGATGCACAGTATACCAACCAGACTAATACGCAATTACCGGAGGAAAAATAAACAAAAAAACGAACAAACTCACATACCTTGACACACGTCAATGCCCCCCCCGACTCACCTCAATGGTTTTGCCATTGGAAGCAGTGATGATGTCGCCCAGCTTCATGCCGCCCCCACTGACCATGTTCTCACACGCTGCTATGATGAAATGCACCTGTGGGGGTTGATCATGTTCACATGCAACGCACATGCACATGCAAGGCAAAGCACACACACAAAGGGATATCACACCAGAGAAATCAAGCCGTCCCCACTGGTGTGCCGTTATGCCGAACTGCCCCTGGGCATGAAAACAGAAAGAGGCCTGAGAGAAATAGGTGACAACACGCAACAACACACTTGCCTTTACGTCCCGTTGCAACTCCAGCCTCATGATCTAACAGCACGCATTGATCCCCCGCTACCCCACGCCACACCCCATGCCCCATGCTCCATGGCCATGGCATCTGTGCAGCGGCAGCAAGGCACGTTTGAACGAGAGGTGAGGTGGTGCTGAGGGCGGACGGTAGGTGCAGAACCCTCACCTGCACGCCCTGAGGCTCACCTGCACGCCCTGAGGCTGGATGGCAGCGATGGCATTGGCAGCGCCCAGCACAGCAGCAGCGCCGCCCATGTCAAACTTCATGAGGTGAATCGTTGAGCCCGGGCCCGCCTTGAGGTTGTACCCACCACTGGTGGGTGCGATGGGTGGGAATCGGTGGGGAAGGGTGGGCACAAAGAAGAACTCGATGAGATGAATCGTGGAGCCCTTTGCTGCCTGGCGCCTCTCATGGCCACCGGATGAGTTGATAGGTGCAATAGGGGAAGGTGAGGAGGGGAAGGTGAGGAGGGGAAGGTGAGGGACGGTGGAGGGAACGATAAGGGGCATGGGTGACAGGCAACGCAGGAAGAGGGATGCATGCACAGGCGATTTGGCGGAAGTTTGACCAGCTGCCTCGTGAGAACACATGGGGGAAGTAGCATGAAATAAGCTGAGAATGAAGAACTATGCGCACCTGTCGAAGGTGAGTCCCTTGCCGATCAGCGCCAGCTTCTTCAGCGGCTTCTCCTCCGCCCTTGACCATCCGCAGCAGCAGGCGGCGTGTACGTGACGTGGATGAACTTGGGCGGGTTGTCCGCCGCTGATGCCTCCGCCACTGCCAGGTACGACCCCATGCCCAGGGCGGCACACTCGTCCTTTTCCAAAATGCGCGCATTCAGCACGTCCGCGTGGGCGGCAGTCAGATTCACCGCCACGTCAGCAAGGACAGCTGGCGTGAGCACATTGGGCGGCGCGTTGACGAGCTGCTTGGTGAGGATAATTCCCGCCGCCAGCCTCTCCGCCTCGAACACGTCCCTCTGGAGGGACTCCGCGTCACCCAGCCCCACCACTTGCAACTCCTTCACACCCCTCTCCGCCTTCGCCTTCTCCTTCTCCTTTTCTTCCGATTTGAACCGCACATCCTCGAAGCTGCCTACTATGGCGCCCGTCACTATCCCCCGAACCGCGCTCCCGTCTTTAATCTCCTGCCCATCCGCCGCCTCCGGTTTGCCCAGGAACGCGCCAGGTTTTGCTATAAAATCCGGGTCGAATGCCAGCTCAGCGGGCGCGCCTGACAGCGTGGCATCGACAAATGCCAGCTCAGCACCGCCTGGGGCTTCGGCAGCAAAGCCGGTGAAGTTGGCTGCTGATGTGTCGTTATGGGAGAGGGCAGAGTCAAAGACAACGAGGAGGAGGAGATCGGAGGGGAGGGAGGCGGTGAGGCCGGGAGCGTGCTGCCATTCCTCTCTCACCTCCCCATCCTTGCCGCCCTCGTCCTCCTCACCTGGATCCTTGCTTCACTCCCCTCCCCTTCCCTCACCTCTCCTTCCTCCCCTTCACTCTCCTCCCATTCGCTCACATCTCTTTCCTCCCTTTCGCTCCCCTCCCCTTCACTCCTTTCTTCCTCCCCTTTGTTCCCCTCGGCCTCCCCCTCCATATCCGTCCCCCCCCCATCCTCTTGCTCTGAACCACCCACCCACCACACGCTCTCCCTCATTCTCTTCCCCGTTCTCCTCTGAGCCACCCACTGCACGCTCTCCTTCGTCCAGGTTGGCTGTACCGCAAATCACCACCTTCTGCCGTGCAGAGAGAAGAGGGCAGTCAAAGATGACGCATGCCAGCAGCTTCGCCATCTGCCGCAGGCCCGTGGGTAAGTGAGCCAGCCGCTTGCAACTCTCCAGGTCCAAATCCTCCAGTTTGGCTAGCTGTGAGGAATTTCTGGGCAGGCTGCAAAGATTGGGCGCTTTTGTAAGAGTGAGGGCCGAAAGAGAAGAGAGCTTCCAGAAGTCGTCTGGAAAGCACGAGACTCCGATGTTTTCCAGAAAGCACAGCTGCAGTCTGCAGAGATCAGGAAAGGACTTGGGTAGCCTGGTTAGGCTCGGAATGTCATCACAAACCAGAGTCAGAAGTTCTTTCAGCTGCCCCAACGACTCGGGCAGCTGAGTCAAGCTCTAGAGACCGTCAAGATGGAGGGCTGTGAGTGCCGAAAGCCTCCCAAGAGTTTCTGGAAGAGCCAGCAGGCTTTTGGCATGGCAAACTGAGAGAGTTTGCAGGCGTGAGAGACAAGTGATGGAATCCGGAAGCGAGCGGAGTCGATGCATGTGCTGGATTTCGAGTCTGGTAAGCAACGAGAAGGAGCCCACGGATGGAGTGAGCAGCTGGAGCGGAAGGGCATCAAACGTGAGGCCCTGAAGTAAAGGAAATAGCACACACTTGTCACCTTCCTCGGATCCGCCACCCAAGTTGAGGCAAGCGCTTCCCTCCCCAAGGTCATGCCCGGCGGCTCCCGGGTGTTCATCTCCAAACACAGAATCCAGCGTGCTGCAGTTACTGACTTGCAGAAACTCCAACCGCTGCAGCTGAAGCAGCGAGCGAGGAAGCGACTTCAGCTTGGGTAGTTCTGATAGTCCTAGCTTCTTAAGCGATCCCAGCCGTCCGATCTGCTCTGTCAGTGTCTTGATTCGCTTGCACTTGGACACCCAGAGGCTGGTGAGAGTGTGGTCGATGGAAGGGAGGGAGGCAGGCAGGGCGGGCAGGTGTGGTAAGAAGTAGAGAGAGAGCTCCTTGAGGCTTGTCAGGTTGCCAGGTAGAGGGCCTCGTAAGCTGGTTGCTTGCGCGGTGAATCAGGGTTTCGAGGGAGGAGAGGTTTCGAGGGAGGAGAGGTTAGAGAGGGACGGAGGGAGGTGGGTGAGAGCCAGGCATCGAAACAGAATCAGTTTGCGCAGGCTATGCAGGCCTTTTCCCGTGTCCTGCGGTAGGGCCGTCTAGTTCCAGCAGTCATTGATCTCCAGCAGCTCGAGGGAGGAAAGCCGACTGATAGAGTCGGGAAGCTGCGCCAGCAGGCTGCAGTCCTCAATTTTCAGCTCCTTGAGGCTCGTCAGGTTGCCAAGCGATGCGGGCAGGCTGCCGAGCTGTGATAGCTTAACCAGACATAGATTCTCCAAGGCAGTCAGCTGCCCGAACTCCTCGGGCAGTGAAACTCTCGCATTCTCAAGCGTTAGCTCTTTGAGCGCGGTGGCAAGGTATGTGGAGGGAGGCATGCGGAAGATATCTCTAACGTCTAGCTTGAGCGTCTGTAAGTGTGGCAGTCGACCGTGTGGCAGACTGCGGAGTGTCAGGTGGAGCAGGCTCAAGTCCGTGAGGGACGGCAGGTGCGAGAGGGAGTCGGGCAACGAAATTAAGTCGGGACACTTGATCACGGAGAGGAGCCGCAGCCGCGCAGATGTCCGAGACTCACAGGCAGGTTGGTAATTCCTCCCACCTCCTCCAGTTTTAGGGTTCCAAGCGCTGGCAGGTTCCCGAGACTCTCGGGCAGCGGTGACAGGTCTTCGCAGTGCGACAATTCGAGGGTGAGCAGGAACAAGAGGTTGGAGATAGATCGGGGCAGCTGAAACCTTGTCCTGCAACCAATGATGGAAAGACGCGTCAAGTTGCTAAGCTGGCCGAGAGAATCAGGAAAGGATCTGAGACGAAACCAGCCCTTGAGTTGCAGCGTCTTGAGCAGCCTCAGATTGCCGAAGTTCTGAGGCAGTTGATCCAGGCCGTACATCTCAATACGAGATGTGCGAGTGACTGTAACGAGGTGAGCGCGTCTGGAAGAAGAACATTTTTCCCGCAGTGGATGTGTAGGCTCTTGAGTGACGCAAGGCAGCTGATTGACGCCAGAATGGCGGTCAGATTCGACTGACAATCCAGATGAAGTCCCTCCAGCCGTGTGCACTTCTCAAGGAGATACGATGCCCCTTTCTCAGCGAACCCTCCGCGTCTGTACTCTCGTTCCATCGAATCGACATGGAGGTCCGTCAGATCTGGACACGTGTCGGCTATCCGCAAGAGGAGGGAGTCAGGAACGGACGTGATGCTACCAGCGGCCAGGACGAGCTTTCGGAACCATGGGATTGATGAGAGGTGCAGCTCGCGAGGACGCATGCGACGCCTTTCGCGAATCTGGATATGGTCGTGCACGCGACACGCGACGCGGTGCCATCCCTTGCACACAAGCGCGTGCTGGAACTGACCGTCGGATTGTACGACAAGATGGAAGAGAGTGGCGAGGATATCGTCTGACAGCCGTCCAATCGGCGATCTAGCAGGCATCTTAACGGATTGATAAGAGACAAAACGATTAACGTGAGCGCTTGAAGACTAGGCAGCTCTGTGAGAATGAGAAAAGGCTTGATGGGAAGTGCAGCAGAACGTAACTGGCTTGAAATTTGCGCGCGTCTACAAGAGTAAATTAGGGCGTGGAACATTTTTACGACCACGCCGATTTGTCGACCATATGGTTGGATCTGGCGAAAACGAAGAGTGTAACTGAGATGGTGTGGTGTGGGATGCTGTACCCGTCACAGCCGTACGACTCGTTTCTGGCTTTAGGGGGTAAAAATTACTAGCACAAGCCAACTCCTAGAAATTCACAACAGCAAACATACCCGAAACAACATACCCATATGGTTCGTTTCTATTTCTAACGTCGCAACATACCCGTATTCGCCCGGATAGCGGATCCCTCGAAATTGAGGGGGGTTCTTAACCTAGGTAAATAGTTGTTTGTTTCGTTAAAATGTTGTTTCTAACCCACCCTGTCATTCCTAACAATTTACGTCGAAGCCATGCGACACATTATTAACGTAAGATGTCAGTTCAGCACGCGTGGATTGGTTATGAGTGGCTACCAATGAGCAAGCAAATATTGAAGAATATTCAACTCCCACATCTGTCAACGGGAGTTGGGTGTTGGCTCCGTCCTCACTTAGGCGAAGCGTGCGGCCGACCAGCTGTAGTGGGCGACGTCGACTTGGGCGCCAGGCCACTGCAACACCGCCGTCAGTAGGGAGCTGGCGGCCGACTTGACCTGGAGGTCGACGAGGGAAGGGGCGCCGGCCTTGGGAGACGCCGTCGTCGACCTAGGAAGGGGCACCTTGGTGGGCGCCGACGCCAAGCTGGAGGGCGCCGGGCGTCGAACAGCAGTGCAGGGCGTCGTGCTGTAGGGCGCCGAGCTGGAGCGGCGCCAGGTTCGGATGGTCGGCCCGGCCAGACTGGCCTGGGAGGCGCCGACTTCGGGGGACGTCAGTCTTGTTCAGCCGGCGACCGATGAGCTGGGTCGACCAGGCGAGGTCGCTCGGACGACCGAGTTACTTGGGCGACGTGCGCGTGTCAGAACATTATAGCTTATGCTTTTGTGTAGGCTATAGTGGGGTATCCCATAGGGGGTACAACCCAATTAGGGTTAGTACTTGTACCCACTTCACTCATAGTTCATTCATTCTCGTTCTCATCCTCACATGGAATCAGAGCAGGTCCCCTCTTAGGGACTGTTTCTTGGGCCCACCGAAGCGCGCCCCGAGGCGCGCGTTTTTTTTTTTTTTAGCGACCCGTCGTGTCGCCCCCCCCCCCCCCCCCCCCCCCCCCCCTCCCAGCGGCCCGTCGCGCCGCCTTTCGGTCGCGGCCCCGCCGCCCTACTCTCGCGGCCCCGCCGCCCTATGTCGCGGCCCCGCCGCCCTACCCTTCGACGGCGCCGCCGCCCAAAGTCGCGGCCCCGCCGCCCTACTTCGACGGCCCCGCCGCCCTACGTCGCGGCCCTGCCGCCCTACCCTACGTCGCGGCCCCGCCGCCCTACCCTTCGACGGCGCCGTTGCCCTACGTCGCGGCCCCGCCGCCCTACTTCGACGGCCCCGCCGCCCTACGTCGCGGCCCTGCCGCCCTACCCTACGTCGCGGCCCCGCCGCCCTACCCTTCGACGGCGCCGCCGCCCTACGTCGCGGCCCCGCCGCCCTACTTCGACGGCCCCGCCGCCCTACGTTGCGGCCCCGCCGCCCTACTTTGATGGCCCCGCCGCCCTACGTCGAGGCCCCGCCGCCCTACCCTACTTCGCGGCCCCGCCGCCCTACGTTGCGGCCCCGCCGCCCTACCCTACATCGACGGCCCCGCCGCCCTACTTTGCGGCCCCCGCCGCCCTACTCGACGGCCCCGCCGTACTACGTCACGGCCCCGCCGCCCTACTCAGCGGCCCGCCAGACGCCCTACCTGCGGCACGCCCGCCGCCCTACCTGCGGCCCACCCGCCGCCCGACCGCCGGGTCGCCCAGCCGCTGAGCCGCTGAGCCGCTGAGCCGCCGAGCCGCCCAGCAGCCGACCGCCGAGCCGCCGAGCCGCCCAGCAGCCGAGCCGTCCAACACCCGAGCTGCCGAGCCGCCGAGCCGCCCAGCAGCCGAGCAGCCGAGCCGCCGAGCCGCCCAGCAGCCGAGCCGCCGAGCAGCCGAGCCGCCCCGCAGTCAAGCCGCCGGCCGCTGAGCTGCCCTACTTCCGTACCGCGCGTTCTGCCCAGTCTGGTGAGCACAGAGCCTAATTTTTCACTGCGCTGCCCTCACCCTACTGCTTGCACTGCTAGGCGTCTGTCGTCATGGCTACCCCCAGTGTCCTCGCTTTTGACGCTGAGGGTCCGGCCATTGACTTTGAGGTCTGGGTAGATGACCTCCAGCTGTTCTTACAGTGCGATAGGGCAGACGGCCTCTCTCTCTTTGACCTTACCTCAGGCGCTTCCCTTGCCCCTGCTGCTGATGCTGACCCTACTGTTCGCTCCCAGTGGGCTACGCGCGATGCTGCTGCACGTCTTGCTGTGCGTCGCCACCTCCCTACCTCTGAGCGTGCGCACTTTAGTTAGTACAAGAGTGCTCAGACCTTGTACGACGCTGTAGTTGCACGCTACTCCTCCCCTGCCACTGCTGCACTGAGCCGCCTCATGCTACCCTTCCTCTTCCCTAACCTTGCCGCCTTTCCCACAGTCGCTGATCTCATTACGCATCTCCGCACTAGTGACACCCGCTACAGCACTGCGCTTCCTGCTGACTTCTGCGCCAAGAACCCCCCCCCCATGTACATCACTCTCTACATTCTAGTCACCCGCCTCCCCGACTCCCTTCGTGTAGTCCGGGACCACTTCCTCGCGGTCTGTCCCACCACTCTCACAGTCGACAGCCTAGAGAAGGCCCTCCTAGCGGCGGAGAAGAGCATCGTCGCTGTAGGAGCCTCTCGAGGTGACCCCCGCGCCCCCATCTTTGAGGGGTGTTCTCCTTCCCCTCTCTTGCCCTCTATCGCCTCTGCCGCTGCAGCCGACCTCGTTGGTCTTGAGTCGGTCGGTGCGGCGTCTGCCCCTAGCGGGAGACGTCGCCCTGGCAAGGGCAAGGGGGCAAGGGAGCGGGTGGGGCTAGCGGGGGCGGTGGCGGTGGAGGTGGAGGCGGCGGAGGGAGTGGGGGTGGCGGTGGAGGAGGTGGCGGGGGTGGGGGTGCTAGTGGCAGCAGTGGTGGCGGAGGCGGCGTCGGCGACGGCGGTACTGGCGGGGGTGGCGGCGGTGGCGGAGGTGGAGGAGGTGGAGGAGGAGGTGGTGGAGGTGGTCGGAGTGGCACTTCACAGCGGAGCGGCACTGGGGGTGGTCAGCGACAGCAGCAGCAGCAGCGTTCTCGCGACGTCCCCACCCCTCAGCAGCTCCGTCAGTGGTACTCGCAACGTCAGCGTGGTGGGGGACTTGGTCCCTGCACCTACGTCCTTCGCACCGGCGACCGCGCGGGTGAGCAGTGTGGGGGTGCCCACCCCACCCAGCGCTGTTTTGGCCGCCTGACGGACACTTGGCGTCAGCAGTTTCCGGAGGCCACGGAGATCCCCCGCTGGGGAGAGCTGTCTAGGGCTGGTGTGGCTATCTATGATCTTGACTTTGATGCTATCCTTGCTGCCATGTATGCTGTGACTATAAGTGATGAGGGTGACTGTTACCGGTGTTTCCCGCCCGACCCAGGCGTTGGTACTGCTGCGCTAGGTGCTTGTGAGTCTACTGCTCTAGGTGCCAGTGCGTCTGCACTCTCAGGTACTAGTGAGGCTGCGCTCTCAGGTACTGCGTCGGCTTCGGCCTCCCTCACCTTCACTCTTGACTCAGGGGCTTCTCGCTCCTTCTTTCGAGACCGCACCACACTCACGCCGCTTGGTCGGCCGGTTGCAGTCTCCCTGGCTGACCCCTCTGGGGGTCCTGTCCTCGCTCACTTCTCCAC